TTTAAACACTCTGACTAACTTTAGATTAGAAAGTAGCCTGTGATGGGCAGCTCCATTGTCGTGCGCTGTTTTGTAGGTATATTTTTTAGCTGAAATTACAAGACTAAAAACATTAATGTTTTGATATTCAAGTGAGAGTAGATTTTCAGCAGCAGCTTTGCTTCAAATTGAAGCATTGTTTACTCAAATCTTTCACGTTACATGGAAGACTAAGTATGAAGTTGAATAGTCTTCAGTTTCGGCTGTATTTTAATCTTTTGGAGGACCTTAACTCAAACATGGCAATAGAAAACTTTATTATTGACTTATTCAGTTTCACACTGAAATAGACAAAGCAAATCATATATGAATATGTCAACTGCCTCTTGTCTGCCTCCATTTCCTCCTAGACAACCTCCCTTCTCTCCACAACTGGCAGCCACCGCCACTGCCACCACCACCCGCAGCAGCAGCGGCGTAGGCCGGTTAATCTTGGTTGAGTTGTTATAGTTGCAGTATCTTGATTTTCTAAAGTCTAACTGGTTGACAAGAATGGAACAGATGGATTCGGGAGAGAAGCGGCTAAATGAGCTTGGATACAAGCAAGAGCTTAGAAGAGAAATGGTAAGTAAATCAACTTTGATCCCTCAAACATTTTCATACAATAACTTTTAATCTCGTATAAAATCTTTAGATTACGATTTACGTCATAAGATTTGTAAAAGTTCTACATACTTTGGCCTCCCCATTTTCGTGTAATGACTTAATTATATCCATACAAAAACTTTAGATTAGGATTTATGACAGAAGATGTGAAACGTTCTACGTTCTTTGGCTGCCAGCCTAACATAGTACTCCTTTAACTAGGCTTGAGAGTGGGAGAACTTTAACGTCATAAGATTTGACAAAGTTTTATATACGCTGGATGTTAGCTTATCATAACCCTCTTTCTTTACCATGGCTTCAAGAAGCTATGAAAAACATAGGAGTTTTTGTACGGAAAATTGTGAAAATTTCAATGGGATTTTGGTTGAACACTAAAGGAAATTCTCTTGTTCAATGATTTCTTGCAGACTTTGTTTAAGACGCTTGCGATTTCGTTTTCGACAATGACACTCTTCACAGGGATTACTCCTTTGTATGGTTCGAGCCTTCAGTATGCAGGGCCTGCACCTCTTGTTTGGGGCTGGATTATAGTATCATTCTTCACTTGGTTCGTTGGACTCGCCATGGCCGAAATTTGCTCATCCTTCCCGGTTTGTTCCATAAACTTTTTGAGTAATGCTATATAGCATTACAACTCCAGTCTAGGCTGCAACAGTTAGCATTAATTGAGGGTAGTAAGCAAACACAAAATTAAGAAAGAAAGAGAAGTAAACTACACGATGTCGATAAGCATTAGGCAATCTTCATTTTTACCTTTCTGAAAGTTTAAATTTTAAATCAAGATAGTTCAACATAATACTAGAGTACGCATAAATCCATTCAAAAGATACTTTTTTCTGTGCAAAAGATACTTTTTTCTGTGCACTTTTCTCATAGAGTTTCTTCCCTCCCTAGATAGTTTTCAACTTTTAAATATCCATAAAAAAGAAGGGCCTATCTTCAAGTCTTCATAAATTTCTTTCTATCCTCGCTAAAGCTTTCTATTGCCTCATTTGACCTTGTGGATTTGTAGACTACTGGTTCTCTGTATTTCTGGGCTGCACATTTAGCCGGCCCCAGATGGGGACCTTTTGCATCATGGTGCTGTGCTTGGCTCGAGACAATAGGCCTAATAGCTGGCATAGGGACACAGGTACATATTTACTGTTTCAAACTAATAAAGTGTAAAATGCAGATGATTTATAATCCCATTTTGTTCTGTTAGGCTTATGCAGGATCTCAGACTCTGCAGAGTATAATTTTGTTATGCACTGGTACAAATAAAGATGGAGGATATTTTGCTCCAAAATGGTTATTCTTGTGTATGTACATTGGCCTCACAATTATATGGGCAGTGCTGAATACATTTGCACTTGAAGTTATTGCATTTATTGATATCATATCAATTTGGTGGCAGGTACCTTTTCCATTTTCTTTTTCCTTCTTTTTTTTTTTTTTTTTTTTTTTTTTTTTTTTTTTTTTTTTTTTTTTTTTTTTTTTTTTTTTTTTTTTTTTTCTTTTTTTTTTTTCTTTTTTTTTTTTTTTTTTTTTTTTAATCCAGTATTTTGGCAATGGAATTTCATAGTGTTGGGTCGGGCTTTAGCATCTCATCTGGAAATCAATTGGTGTCCAATGGTGAAATGCTAAACATTTTATTACATTCGACCACCACCATTTGAGTGATATAACACAAGTTTAAGAGCAGTATTGTTGCTCCCCATCAGAGAGAATGCCTAAAGATGTCAACTTCAATATGTTTCGTTTCCGAGAAGAGTGAGAACAAGGGATTAAAATTATTGGAAAAATTGAAAACAACTAAGCTAATTTTAGGCAAAGTGGGATTCTGTAAGTCAAACCAGCAGTGATGGATCCAAGAATTTGAGTGAGCTAGGATAGATCCAAGCAAACGTACATGGCCACTCGAGCAGCCATCCAATACATTGGAAACAAAATTTTATGACGAAACCAGTACGGGTGGTTGTCATGGCTCGCTAGGTGCTGGCTCCGCCACTATCTATATCAATAGTCATTTTAGATGTCTGGAATCTAATGTCTTCAAGTTAGCATTCTTGGTCATCGTCTCCTGTACACCTGGTCAACATTGGCCAACCAAACCGGAGATAAAAATGAGAATGGCTACCACAAGCAGAAGGATAGCATACATTCATGACTTGTATTGGTTAATCAACCCTATAGTTATTGTCAGTGACATGCATTTCCTCTTTGCAGGTCGTTGGTGGAATAGTAATAGTTATCATGCTTCCGCTTGTAGCCCTAACTCGACAGTCAGCTTCTTATGTATTCACTGAATTTCAACTGGCACCGGAATCAACAGGGATATCAAGCAACGCATATGCAGCCATACTCTCTCTTCTGGTGAGTCAGTATTCACTATATGGATATGATGCTGCAGCACATCTGACTGAAGAAACTAAAGGCGCAGACAAGAATGGTCCTATAGCTATTCTCTCAAGCATAGGGATTATTTCAGTATTTGGATGGGCATATATCTTGGCTCTTACTTTCAGCATTCAGGTATGTCCTTATTCTCAGTCTGTTATATTATGTTGAATTTCAAATATTCAGTTTCACTACTAGGATAAGGAAAGGGATAATGTGCAACTTCGAGTTGTCAATTATATCCTTTATAAAAGTGCCCTTTCTAGGTGGGTCGGGTCTCTTCACGCCTATTAGCTAACTCACCACTTACGAAGGAATTGTTTAAAGGAATCTATTGGTTGGTGATTCAAACTCTTGTGTCAGGATCCAAGCTATCTGTATGATACATCTAATGAAACCGCCGGAGCATTTGTTCCAGCTCAAATACTCTATGATGCATTTCATGGAAGATATCATAACTCGACCGGAGCGATTATCTTACTAGTTATCATATGGGGTTCATTTTTCTTTGGAGGACTCTCAATAACTACAAGTGCAGCCAGAGTGGTAAGTCTGCTGTTACCTGTCTTCACAATCCTGTGCGATTTATTATGCTGCTGTCTCATGAATTAAAGCACAGTTTGTGAATTCTACTTGACATTTGTGAGTCACATGATTTTATTTTAGGAATATTCTCTGCCTGAAATTTTGAAATATTTTTCATCCTACAATAACAACAAAGTAAGCATTGTCAACAAATTCGGGATCGGCTATATGAAACCTTTTTTTTTTTTTTTTTTAACACGTTTCTCTTCTGATATCTTCTTGAATCAATACTAGTAACCGAAGCCTCTTTCAAGTCTACATAGAATGTCTCAACCTTTTAAGCAGTCATTTTCTTAATTTATCCTAAATTGATGACACCTTACTCATTAGCTTATATTTTCATTTCTCGTCTTATAACCATTGAGTATGACCACATATCCATCTTAACACCCTCATCTCTCCTACATACATCTGAAATTGTATGTATGTTCTTTTGAATAGGGAAAGTTGAAAGTGTTTCGAACATGAGGATTTATCGTCTATTATGCGATGTCTTGAAACTGTTGTGCTATATGTACATAATGATTTATATAATGGCTTACATACACATGACATGGCAAGATGATTGGATCAGAATTTCTTCAACCAAATTAAAATAAAAAATAAAAAATAAAAAAAAATCCCTACTCTCTTTTTGACATCTCATTTGTAGTAAATTATTATATAATTTCATTATGTATAAGTAGCACTATTCGTCTTGAAATTATCTATCTGCTAACCTAATGCATATGTTGTGATCTGCCACAGGTTTATGCTCTATCAAGAGACAAAGGAATTCCATTCTCATCCATCTGGCGAAAAGTCCACCCGAAGCACAAAGTTCCTTCTAATGCTGTATGGCTTTGCGCCGCCATCTGCAGTCTTCTTGGACTACCCATCTTGAAGGTTAACGTAGTATTCACCGCCATAACTTCCATATGTACAATCGGATGGGTTGGTGGTTATGCTGTTCCAATCTTTGCCAGACTAGTAATGGCCGAGAAAAATTTTAAACCGGGGCCATTTTATCTGGGCAAAGCAAGGAGGCCTATTTGCTTAATAGCCTTTCTATGGATTTGTTACACCTGCTCAGTCTTCCTTTTGCCAACTTACTATCCTATCGGCTGGAATACTTTTAATTATGCACCAGTTGCTCTTGGTGTGGGTTTAGGTTTGATTCTACTTTGGTGGCTTCTGGATGCTAGGAAATGGTTCAAAGGTCCTGTTAGAAATATTGATGTACAGAATGGAAAGGTTTGATGTTGAATTCAGTTTAATAAATATAATCGAAAATTTCGTATAATACACTCATATTCAATACTTCATAGTCTTATCTAGTATTGTCCAATTTAGCATACACAATAGGTCATAATGGCATATATTTGGACGAGATATTTCCCATCTTTTCATAGTTAATCAGTGCATCAAGGAAATCATTTTTTAAAACCAAATAGTTCCAAATATAACCTTAATCCAAATAGTAATGAAATTAACTTACAATGGTGAGAATAATACTGCCGTTACTGACCAACAGAGAAAGTTTGAAGCAACAATTTGACAGTTTACATAATGAAGTCGGTTATCTCATATTCGCATCCTTTTCACATCGTTCTCAGGTACAGATGAGTCATTTCCATCTCTGCCAAGTAAAAGTGCAGACTGACAAAAAATAAAAACTGGTTTTTAGTCCCTGAATCCAGCTTTTAATTGTCTAGAAGTTCATTTATGCCAATTGAACCCTCTCGAACTGTTTCCATTTAGTAAAAGATTTGTGCTAATTCAGGTCACTCGATATTAGTGGGAATCAAAAGAAAGAACAACTTACATTCTCTTTAGGAACAACTGCATATCTCTCAGTTGGTAAGACCGTAATTTTTTCTGTCATGATAATAAAAACATTGTTAAATAAGATCATGTAGAGCAAGAAGTAAAAACTGAAAAATCTGTAAATTCTAATTTATAAAATCAGAAGTATCAATGGAACCTGATGAAATGTCAACTTTTGAGGCCTCTATCTGCTGTCCACTTGATCCATCCATGTTTAATGCGTCTATAATCTTTGGGACATTTCTAAAAGATAGGAAATAGTATCAGGAGGCCATGATATTTGAAAACAATTTATGTATTAAGCCCTTATCCCAATTACAAGAGCAATATTAAGAAATACAAAGTCAAAATCACATGCAAGCAAACAGAGATTCCTGGCCATTGTAGGTTTTCACTATGATGACAGAAAAGATTATAGTGGTGATGTCATGCCTCTTGGTCTGTGTCTCATAAAAATGAGCCTCTAAAAAATTCTTTTTATATGTAGGAATATGAAGGACATCTAATACTAAATGTATAAGATGCGTAATATAATCTTGAACTCAAAATACACCTATAAACCTTGCGGTTGCGAGGATATTTCTTCAGTACAATCAAGCTCCACTCAGTCCAACAAGAAGGCTTATACACACCTCATTTTATCTATTAGTAGGACAAAACAGAAAGCTTAGTCGACCTGATAGAAAGCAGGAAGCAGTATGCAACCCAATTTAGATGTATGACAAACAGAGAACATCATTTCAGGATAACTGCGTACTTACTGCAGCAGTGACATATAAGACTACGACTACATTTACATAAAGAACATTGCCTTAATGGATATGGACTGACAGAGACATAAATATCAAAATATCAAAATGATGACTCAAACTATGAAACTTCAAGTCATCTGAAAGAGATTCAGCTACAAAAAGATGAGGTCAGTATAATATTACCGGTCTAAAGAATCCCCGTGGCCAAGCTGGCCATTTGTACCCCTTCCCCAGGAAAATACATTATGTCTGTCAGTGACGGCAAGTGTATGCCTCCAGCCACATGAGACATGAACTACTTTCTGCCATGTATGAAAAAGTGGAAAACCCAAACAAGAAACAATTTATTAGAACTGGAAAGCAAAACGAAACTTCAAGAACTGGATAAAGTTGCCAATAGTTGAGTCGACTAATTTGGAACGAATAGAGTAAGAATATGCCTGATCGTCTGGAAATTTGACTGGTATTGGTGAGCAATGATCAGAGTTGTCTCCAACACCAAGTTGTCCAAACTGTGAACATGGAAAATCTAGGTGTATAAAATCAATTCTAAAGACCAAGAAAGGAGTAATCAAGAATTATATACATTTTTAAATTGAACTTCATTATATGAGAAATTAAATTGAAGAAATTGCCGTTAGTTCTAAACCTTATTCCAGCCCCAACCATAAAGCTCTCCATCAGTTGTCAATGCCATTGTGTGTCTCCAACCACCTGATATCTGAGGAAAAAAGACATGAAACATGAATAATACACACACACATATATATTCATTCAAATTTAAACATCTTCCCAGAAAACTTTTTGATTAAATTTAATGATAGGTTAAATAAGTGAATCCAAATGCAGTGCAAATTTAGAGATTCTACCTTGTAGATTGAGAACTAAATACCTGACAGATACAATGTTCGTGCAAGGCTTCCAGCTTATGAGGGATTAGGTGGTCTTCAAAGTCCCCATGTCCTAGTTGACCGTATTTGCTCCATCCGTAAGTATACACACTGCCCGAGGACGAGACAGATATTGTATGCCGCCATCCACAGGCCACCAGAATTATCTTTTCATGCTGTAATTCGAGTTATCGTGAGTTAGAGCAGAGGCAAAAAATAGAAGTAAAAAATAAACTAAACATGACGATACAGTAGTCCATAATCCATGGATTTTTCTTCTACATAATTATCTTCAAGATATTATGTTAAACAGTGACACTTTTGAGGGAAATTCCAGTTTCTTTCTCCTTTCAATTTTTTTTATTTTTATTATTATTATTATTATTTTTTTTTTGGGATATTTAAAAAACTTCTCTGGATAACATGCACAAGCCAAAAATTTTAAAATTAATTAATGGAAAGGATTTGTCTCTCACTAAATTAATATGCTAACATGACATGAATACAATCAACACAGATCCAATCAAGAGTTACAACTCTCTGGTTTCACTTTCATCTTTTTCATATCTCTACCTTTAAAACGTAAAGACAATTCCATGTATAGCATCGAGATTGCCTTTTACAGGCAGCTGGTACAATAATTAGTAAACCATAGTGACAGTATTTAACTGCGCAAAACTGCTCACACCTCAACAGATGAAACTTTCTCAGGGATTAAGCGGTCAATCCTATCACCCAAGCCGAGATTACCGTATCGACCCCAGCCCCAACCGTAAAGCTCACCATCTTCTGTTACAGCAGCTGTATGTTCAGCTCCAGCAGTAATCATTTTGACAGATATTCCCTACAAAAGGGACAAGGGGTGTATTATATCTTAGTTAAATCGTGAAATTTCATGAGTTGCTAAATTTATCATTTAGCCATCATAAATATGTCAATCAAATTCACAAGAGAAAAGATATCTTTCTTCTTGTAACTCATAAGCAAATGCTATTATTAGTATATTTGGTACATCTGCAGTGAGGACTGCCAAATATATATTCATTTATTAATCGTTAGCAAATATTATCTACAATTAAACAGTATAGGTCTTAGAAATGGAGGCACTTCTTTCTCTTGAGTACAGTTATGGCACCTTTGTACATAAATGAGAGAGAAAGAAAGTAGTGATACGAAAATTCTTGATTAAAAATTAAACTTACAGTACCTGAAAACCTTCTATTTTCTGAGGCAATAGAGAATCCTCTGTTGTTCCAAGCCCAAGTTGGCCATTTTGGTTCCGGCCCCAACTTCAATTCAAAAGAATTTAAAAAAGCCATAAATGTATTAAGTAGATGTGATCATATAATCCAAAATTTTAACATATTCACCAGTGATTTAAATACTTAATGTTACTGGACTGGCAATGTCCCACACCTTTAAGCTTGAAATGATTTTACCTGGGATCTAGCTCGCACATAGGAAATTGAGAGAGAACAAGATATAGAGGCTCATAGTAAAATGTATGTCATGGTTGCTTTGTGCAATTTGCAAAATAAATAATCACACTTTATATAGGAAAATTAAGGCAAATGCTTAGATGAGCAAGAAAATTTTCCACCTAATCAAGCTCCTGTATTATAATATATCGGTAGCAAGGAAGTGCACCTTAGTAAATAGAAAATAATGAAAAAGGTTAAGACGCGACCAACCTCAGCACCTCTCCTTTCATTGTCACTGCCAAACAATGGCTGTCCCCACAAGCAATTTGCTTTATATGTAGACCTTGTAATGATTGGATTGGTTGAGGAGAAAACAAGTCGCTGGAGTTTCCATGACCCAACCTTCCAAAATCACCCCTGAATTATTCATATAGTGACAAGTGTCAGTAACTTTAGGGTCATTCGAGACCTGAAAATTCATCAATCCAAAGAATTACATCCCAAAGAATACTTGTTTGTTTCAATTCAAAGAATAGGAAGGATGTAGATAGAAATTGGTATTTTCAACAAGGTGAATTCAAATTACAGCAGCCATGTTATGGTTGACAGTAAACACCTTGCTAGAAAGAAAAATCAATTAATAGTAAGTCTGGATAGTACAATGGTTTCTTTTTCTTGTTAGTATAACTCCCTCCCAACAGAGAGAGAGAGAGAGAGAGAGGCTTAAAGCTTGCCAAGCGACTATTAATAACACAGTAATCTCAAAAACTCCATAGTCGATCATAAAATATTATCAAACAACAAAAGTTAGCCTAATTGGCAATGTGTAAAGACGAAAACAACAGGATAAGAGTGATAAAATCAATTAATAGTGACATATTTAATTCAAGAGTCTATCATCTGAAAATCAAGTTAACTAATTTATGGTTTGTGTGTGATATTCTGTGGGAAAAAGCAGGTTATCCCGAGGAGCATTTGTAAATTGCTGATCCTCTCTGTTTGTAGGCATTTGTATCATGCAATATGAACCCCAAGCCTAAGTAGCTGGCTTAACTTAGCTTGAATTTAGATAAAATTTAAACATTTGGCTCAAACTTGACTTCTTACATAAAACTAATACCAAACTCTTCTCTAAAATTAGTAACCTCAGCTTGCGAACTATTTAGCAGAGTAAGAACACCAAGTTACCTACCATCCCCAGCTATACACTTGCGATTGTGACTCTGAGAATGCAGTTGTATGGTCAGCTCCACAAGTGACAGATACTATTTCACGGCCATCCAATGCACCCAATTGAGTAGGAGTAAATCTATCATCAGCATCCCCATGGCCTAACTGTCCATCCTCTCCCCTTCCCCATGAGCAAACAACATTCCCAGCTGCAAGTAATAAACGAAAGAATTATCCATATTGCATGCTAATCTTTTTTGCAATTAATGATTCAAAGGAACTATAACAATGAACTAGGAACCAGAATTCTATAAAATCCTATCAGAATTCTCTTATGCCAAATTTTTGTACAAAAATATTGAAGAGCTAAGCTTGGTTTTCATTTTCCATTTAGTAGATAAAACAGAGGAAGCGTCTGCAGGTTTTAAAAAGAAAAAAATCAGCAACTTCTCTCTTATCTCCTTGTAATAAAATACATCTTTTCAAATCTGCAATACAAATTCTAGAACTTTCGGAAGGCTTGTAACAACTATGGCATTAGGAGACACCTTGTTTTCTTGTGTTAGGGACACCTTAAAGCTTTTGAGACACAATTGCAATGAAAAATTGCAGAGAAGAAGTGTGTACGTCAGAAAGCTTTCACAATTTAGTGTGCCAAGATGTGATGCAGGGACTTGTACTAGGTAAATAATATATCATTAGAAAATAGAAAGCTTCTCGATTCAAGGTTCTAATTTATTTTACAGATCTCAATTTTTGGACTTCTATACAAAAAGTTATGTGCATTTTCCTTTGGCCTGTAAGTTGTCGTGCTTAAGCTCATACGTGCGAGTGAGCAATGTTGAGAAAAATTTAATTTGTCATGTGAACCTATGTAATTAATAGTGTATAAAGCTATCTTAAAGTTAAGTCCAAAATTAAAGTTATCTAATAAAGAATTAAAATGTTGGGATTAGGGTATCTAAATAAAGTGTGGGACGAATTATATGTGTAGAAATTAGATTCCTTTAGCATTGTATTTCATGTTCGGCGAAATATATATCAAAACTATATATAGAGTTATAGTCTCCAATTTATATACAACTTCTCATATTTTGTGCCATCCCATCGATACAAGAATACAAGAGAAATCATATTAAAGAAGAAGATCCAAAACACACAATCAAGAACAGGCAATCCACAATCAAGAATCAAGAAGAATAAAATTGAAGTAATTAAATTCAAGAACAAGGCAATCAAGATTTAAACCAAGAAACCAATCAAGAAGGGATTCCAAGTTGATTTTCAAGATTCAAGATCCTGAATCAAGATCCAGTAATAAAGAATTATTCCTAAAGAATTAAGGCATTCTTCACATTATTAATTTTCTTGATGATCTGACATAGAGGATCTTAGCAATAAAGAAATTTAGGTTTTTCAAGTTCTAAAGTTTCTAGTTTTGTGAAGTTTAAAGTTTCAACAAACCAAGCACAAAGTGTGAGCAGGATAAGTTCTACATAAGCTTTCTCCTGCTACCGTTACAAGCCAAATATGCTTGCATGAGTGGGCTTCAATGTGAAAGTTGAATGGGTCATCCTAGTTTACAATACTTGAAGCGTGTATTCCCTTCTCTTTTCTTGGATAAAACATCAATTGAGCTTCAATGTGAAAGTTGTGAATTTGCAAAATATCAGCTTATAAATTTTCCAAATTCCTTATACGAATCTTCTAAACTATTCGCCATGATTTACAATGATTTATGGAGACCTTCTCCTAACCTTAATCGTACCCACACAAAATAGTTTGCCTCATTTATTGGCGACCACACTCAAGTATATTAGGTCTGTCTATTAAAAGAAAATTTTGATGTTCGTTCAGTACTTATAAATTTCCACTTTATGATTCAAACCCAATTTCAAACGCAACTTCAAATTCTGCGCAATGACAATGGCACAGAATATTTCAATAACACTTTACAAGACTACCTGAAGAAACATGGGATAGCCGACCAAAGCTCATGTGTTAATACTCCCCCAAAAAATGGGATTGCTGAACGAAAAAATAGACACCTATTTGAGCAACAGATGTCATTCTAACATCTACACATCTCATCGATCGAATGCTTGGTCGTTCTCTCTCTTTCGACTCACCTATAAAAAAAAATTTCAAAAACACTACCCTACTCCTCACCTCAGATCAAACCTACCCATAAAAGTGTTTGGAAGTCAAAACCACTTTTTAATTTTAATTCCTACAAAACAGGAGGCATAAAGTTCCTACTTTTTGGGCGATTGATTGACCCTTTTTTTATGAAAAATATTTTTCAAAATTCATCATGTGACCATGTTTCCTCAAAAACAAATAAAACATTTTCTTTATAATATATTTGTATTTTCTAGGCAATTCACACATTCCAAAAAATTATTTTCTAAGTTGAAAATTGAGTCAATCAAACACATTTACTTAACAATTCTCTTACAAAAAAGTTCTACTAATTAATTGACGGGAACTTGTTATCTTTCCATGCAACTTTTACGCTTGCAATCAAATACACCTTTAGAGTTTATTTTCAAGTTCAGATAAAGCCCCTATTTGGGAGGGATCTAATTCAACAATTAATTTAATCACATATTTTTGGGTATTCATAACTTTTATAGTACACATTTTATCAACTTTTATCAAAATTTACTAAAAAATTGATTTTAATTCCCACTAAATAGGAGCAAATTTCAAATTCATCATTAAAAGCATTTATGTAAGAACATCTTCAATAGAAAGTAAAAAAAATTTATGTACTTCTATATAGTTAGAGTTCTTTTGTCCTTAGCCATTAATCTAAATTGGCCACTTCAATAGCTAGACATTAAGAATGCATTCCTGAATGGAGAGCTAGAAGAAGAAGTTTTCATGACAATACAACCAAGCTTCAACAAAGGGAATGAAGAAAAACACATATGTAGGCTCAAGAAACCTCTATATGGTCTCAAACAATCACCAAGATTGTGATCGATAGATTTGTAGAAGTATTAAAAAGTCAAGGATATTAGCAAGGCAATCAAATCATACCATGTTCTTCTAACAATCTAAAAATGGGTCAAAGACAATCCTAATTGTAGATGTCGATGATATTATCTTAACTGGGGACAACACGACTGAAATGGAAAGACTAAAGAAATGCTTAGCTATAGAAACTGAAGTAAAGGACCTAGGACAAATACGATACTTCTTAGTAATGGAGATTGCAAGATCAAAGAAAGGTATTAGTGTCTCTCAAATGAAATATATTCTTGATCTTTTAACTGAAAATGGCATGTTGGGATGCAAACCAATTGACAGACCTATTGAGGCAGGCAAAATAACAAAGGACTTCGAAAATTCAATAGAAATAGACAAGAAGTTAATATACCTATTTCCCACAAGACCTCACATCGCTTTCGCAGTCAGCATATGCACTCTCTTAAAGAAGCTCACCTAGAAGTAGTATACAAAATACTGAGATATCCAAAAGGCACCTTTGGGAAAGGATTATTCTTTGAAAAAATAAAAGAAGGATAGTAGAAATATCTACAGATACAGACTCGACTGGATCAACAAAAGACAGAAGATCTACTATTGGCTATTGTACTTTTGTTTAGGGAAATTTCGTAACTTGAAAAAGTAAGAAAAAAAATGTAATGGTGAGAAGTAGTGCTGAAACTGAATTTAAAGCTATCGTACAAAGGATATGTGAAGGACTATGGATAAAGAAATTCTTAGAATAACTAATGTCAAGGTTGAATTTTCAATCAAACTCTATTGTGATAACAAAGCAGCTATCAACATTTCCCTTAATCCACTGCAACATGACAGAACTAAATATGTAAAGATGGATAGACATTTTATCAAAGAGAAAGTGGAGATGGAATTATTTGTATGACATATGCCCCTACAAAAGAACAAACTACGGATATCTTCACTAAACTATTGCCAAAACAAGTTTTCGACAACTTCAGTTGCAAGTTGAACATGATCAACATCTACAGTCCAACTTGAGGGGCAGTGTAGAAAATCGGATATGGAAAGATACGAAGAATGGGAAAGATTGTGATTGATAGGATTATTGGTTGGATGATTTATTTCCTTATGTAACAGATTGTTTTTTCCTTTTTCCTTCCATCAAGGACAGACCCACATGGGGTCATGTGGGGTCAGTTGACCTCACAGAACTTTCAGATCTTTTTTTTTAAGTTATCCAAACGTCCCAAGCCCAATTAAATATAACATTGATCCATTGCCTGTCTATCTATCCGTCTATGGGCCGCCATTTGCCAAGCCCATTTGCTAATTTGCACACAAGCCCATTTATTTAGCTGATTTGCACACAAGCCCAGTAGTGATTAATGATATGTTGTTTTAAAAAAAAAATTGTATTTCAATTTTTGACCCCACAATGCCGAATGTCTGGCTCCGTCCCTGCCTTCCATATTTTGTAATATAAATAATTTGTATTAGAATCATAATATCAACCAAGAAATAAAGAAGTTTTATTCTTCAAGCCATTATCTGAATCTTCTCCAAACTATCGCTTGGTTTTCTAATGTTTAGCTCCTCAGTAGACTCTAGTAGGCAAAAATCATAGTCACTTAGGAACAGGTTACTCCAAATATTCTTGTTAATTAGAGATGGGGTCCACATTGCAGTTTGACTTGTCCCCAGAAATGCTGAAATATATGTGCTATAAGCTTTAAAGTTTAAACTTAGCAGGACCCTTCCTCCGGTGTCAATCTGTTTTGTTGATATCTGAATCATAAACTTTGGCCAAACAATATGAAAGTGTCAACACTTGAAAAAAGAATCCGATGAGAGCTCGATCACTAGAAGCGGAGCGGATGATCGAGTATGTTGGGAATCTACTTAACATGCACAGCGAAAAATTAAAATAGATTTCGATTCCCACCAGAAATCACTTTGTGTTTAGATAGAAATTGTGAAAAAATTGTACCTTTTCCAGATCTGCAGACTTCTTTGCTATTCTTTTTGTTCCAACAATCTGTATTCGTCATCCACAACTGTCCAATTGTCCAACCTCCAACGGTGATTCACAAAGAGAACATATTGCAGCTACCAGGGTTTTCTCCTCTTGTGCTAGCAAGAAATTATGAGAAAACTTTATGGATTGAAAACCCTAACCATGTATTTATATAAGCCCAAACGGGCCTGGCCTGATCCGGTCCAATATTTAATTAATCCA